TTTTGTGTTTTATATCAAGGGTTTGGCTCCAAAACACTGCAATAAAGCAATTATAGGATTAAAGTACGCACACACATTTTTAGCTTCCCAGTGTGGAGCTGTAAGATCAGCAATGCACTGTGAACCACAAAGTCGGCAGTTCGAAGTCACCAGCCACACCTCAGAAACAGTCTACAGGGTCACTGTGAGTCGGAACCAACTCGACGGCATTCAGCAAGAAGTGCATAGAAAAGTAACAATGACCACTTACTGCAGTCTATAAAGTTCTAAACACAGGGTAGGGAAAGTCTGAAATACTTTGAGAAGGAGCAACAGGGGACACAAAGACATGAAGTAAGCACACACTGTCAGAAAACTGGTGCCAACAGTGGTACTCAATGCAGAATTGCCATAAATGATCAATTTACAAAAAACAAACAGTCCACAAAGAACAATGCAGCAAAGTCCAGCAGACTGAACACTGTCTGAACAGAAACATACGCATGGCTACAGATGCTTATTTACATAGGGCATCCTGCTGAGACGCCGCATGATAAACTCTGGGGTGTTTGCTGCCAGCTTGGCGGTTCAAATCCACCAGCCGCTCCTTGGAAACCCTACACAGACTCGCTATGAACCGGAACCGACTCAATGGAACTTAACAATACTCACAGAACGTGTTTGTCAGATGCCTACAAGTCGGTTCCAACTCATAGCGGCTATGGAGGGTCTCAGGGGCTTCAAAGCCTCATCTTTTATCACACAGAGCAGCTGCCAGCCACAAGCCGTGGACCCTGTGGTTCGCAGTCCGGTTCTTCTTATGCAGAACCACTATGCTCATATATGTACATATGTGTGTGTGTGTGTGTGTGTGTGTGTGTGTAGACAGATATATATATATATATTGAGAGAGAGAAAGACACAAGGGCTTCACCTCATGTACTTTGCCAATGTTGTCAGGAGGGACCAGTCCCTGGAGAAGGATATCACGCTTGGTAACAGTGGAGGGTCAGCGAAAAGGAAGAAGACCCCCAATGAGATGGATTGGCACAGTGGCCGCAGCAATGGGCTTGAGCATAAAAGGATTGTGGGCTTGGTGTTCTGTGGTGCATACGGGTCGTTGCGAGTCGGAGCTACCTGGATGGCTCCTAAAACAACAATGAAAACATAGATTCTACCGGTAGGAGATCTTTCCCAGCACAACCTCTGCCTGTGCAGTCAACTGTGCAAGAGTCTGGGGTCCCCACTGTACAGCCCTAGTCACGGGATGCACAAAGAGGGAACCCCAAACTCAAGAGGTTTCATACCAGCCAATTCCAAGCTCTGGGCAGCACTCCCATTCTGTGATTTATACAACACAGTCCTCACGAGGAGTCTGTGTGGGGTTCAAATAAACAAAAGTGTCTGCAAAGCAGTCTTTCATTAGTGGTGGGGCTGCGGCAGAAGAGGGGCAGATGTCGGCCATTTAGTGGCAGACTAAATGAACCTTCATCTGCCATTCAGAAGACCTGGTTCGGTTCCTGGACAATGCACAGCTAGCACCTGACTGTCTTTGAGGGACTGTTGTCATGCTGAACAGCACTTCCAAACTCAGAGACACTAGGAAGAATGGCCTGGTAATCTACTGAAAACCAGCTGAAGAAAGCACTGTGTATGTCAGCAGTTCTAATCTATAACCCATTACGGGGATGGACAAGGATAGGGTGTTTTGTTCCGGCACACATGGGATTTCCAGGAATCGGGGCCGACTGAACCACACCTGGTTTAATGTTAAAGTCACTAGTATTTCTGAGGCAGAAGCCTGCCTTCTATGCTGGAGATCTGGGACGGATGGAAACAATATATTCAGCCCAGAGGCACCTCAGAAGAAAGACCTGGAGACCTACTTCAGAGAAACTGAGAGCCCTACCGAGCCCAGTTCTGTTCTAACACACTTGGGGGTTGCTTTGAGTTTAAGACAGTGTGATTCTGGGGTTGGC